GCCTTCGCCAATCAGACAGCCAAGGAGGCTGCCCTAAGACCAGTGGGGCCACTAGAGATCCTTCCAGTCCTTCCAGGGGAAAGCCTCCCCAAAGAGGAGGAAGAACTTGGACGGAGGCTCAACTGTAACTAGGGACCTCGAGGCTAAAGGCTTCTCTCCATCGGGAGGATCCTCTTACCTGCGGCCCTAGACCGAGAGCTGATCTCTCAGCTGCATCAGGGCACCCACCTGGACAAGACTAAACTCTCCAGTCTCATAGCCTGGAACTTTTATGTCCCAAAACTCAACAGATGGACAGAATCTGAAATAAGGAGATGCCCTGCCTATGCCCAAGTCAACTCTCACCCTAAGAAAAAAACAGACCTCAGGACCCGAGAACGAGGCAGAGCTCCTGGTGACCACTGAGAAATTGACTTTACTGAGGTCACCCCTGGCCAATATAGCTATAAATATCTGCTTGTTTTCATAGATACCTACTCTGGCTGAACTGAGGCTTTTCCTACCAAGACTGAAACTGCAACCACGGTAGCCCGGTTACTGCTCTCTGAGATAGTCCCCCGATTTGGCATCCCTCTAGCTCTGGGGTCCGACAATGGCCCGGCATTCATTGCTCAAACCACAAAATTGTTAGCTAAAGCTTTAGGGATTACTTGGAAATTGAATTGTGTCTACAGGCCTCAGAGTTCAGGACAGGTAGAAAGAATGAATAGGACATTAAAGGAAACTTTAACTAAGCTCTACCTTGAGACGGGCAATAACTGGGTAAGGCTCCTTCCTTTTGCCCTCCTTCATGTGCGCTGTACCCCTTATCTTAAGGGTTTCACCCCATTTGAAATCATGTTTGGCTGACCTCCCCCTATTCTACCCCAAATCGGGGACGAGGTCTTAGCCAACCTCCTCAGCTCTTTGCAGGCAATCCAGAGGCTGAGAGAACAGACCCGACAGCCAATCAAGGACACCAGACTCCAACCGGGGACACCCCAGATACCACCGCACGACTTCACCCCCGATGACTGGGTCTGGGTCAAGAAACATCAGCCTGCTTCCCTCGACCCTCGCTGGACTGGCCCTTTTCCTGTTATCCTGACCATGCCCACCGCTCTGAAGGTAGCAGGATGGAAATTTTGGATTCACCACACTCAGGTAAAGAAAGCACACCCTGAGCAAATACCTGAACAAGAATCCCCTGAAGATAAAGCTCTCCAGGGTTTCCTCCTTGTCTCTTTCCTGACTCTGATTGCCAGTAAAGCACCTACCCAATTTAGATACACTCAAGGGCAGCCACTGCTATGAAGGTACAGGCCCCCGCCTGACCCTCGGAGTCCTACAAGGACAGGGAGGGGACATGCTTCATTATCGGCAACTACGACCTAAGCTCTTCCCCTTAAGCAGACCCATGCAGGGACGCTACCACCCTAAGCCCATTAAGTCCCTCATCACAAGAGACTTGGGTCCTAACTGCACCCCTAGAGGACTTGGTTTGCTTGCACCTCAGGACTAACTCCCTGCGTTTTTCCCGTTGGAACCAAAGACTTATGTATTCTTGCTAACATTATTCCACAGGTTTATTTCTTCTCTGTTTGGCCTTAGGAGAAACCTGTTGCTTTTATGCTAACCTGGTATTATTAGAGAAAGCATAAAATTAGTTAGACAGTGACTAGATGAACGAGAACAGGCTTTATCCACCTCTAAGAATTGGTATGAGAATCACTTTAATTGGTCCTCATGGTTCACTACTCTTATCACTAGCCTTGCGAGCCCCTTATTCTTCCTCCTATTAACATTAACTTGTAGCCCAATCCTAATTAATTGCTTAATGCAATTTTTTAGAGAAAAAGTACAGGCTGTTAAGCTCATGGTTCTTAGCACTCCCTATCAAAGGCTAGCCACAATGGAAGAAATTGAAGACACTTTAGAATCAAAGATTTGGTTTAACCCTAAAACCAGTGGGGAACGTAAAGGACAAACACATGACCTTGCCCCCTGGATTTTAAGGGAATGGCAAGAACTATCTGCTAATAGATAACCACTGCATTGTATAGATAACCACTGCTTTGTGTACACAGAAACTGATTGTTCCCTCAGGCATAACAGCTAACTGCAAATATCTGCTTCTGTATGTGCTTTCTTGCTCGCATACCCTTAATCCAAATTCCTTAACAGAGGCTAAAACAACTATATAAGCAACCCTTCCTCTGAGCTCCTCCTCTGAGTAGGATGGGACAATAGCTGCACAGCTAATAAAGCTCTCTTAATTTGAACCCAGTTTGGAGTCTGAGTCTGGTCTGTCTCATTGGTCTACAACAGTAGGAGGGGTGGAGGCAGACAGGCTGGTCCCACAGCCACCTGTGGCGGATAAAAATCAGAAGGATACCTCTGCTGGGAAGGTCCTCCCTGAGGACTGAGGGGGTCCCGTCCCACACCAGGTGCCCCACTCAGGGTTCCAGTGCCAGGAAGAGAAGTCCCCATAACTTCTGGTGGAAAATCCAGCGGGAACTGAGGCTCAGAAAAGCTGACGCGGCCGGAGCTCCAGGCAGCTCCCTAAAGGGTCCGCACATGGACTTATCGGATTCACTCCCTCTAAGCTTGGAGGGGAGGCAGCTCAAGGGGCACCAGAGACATACAGGGAAGAACTGAGCTGTTTGGTACTGGAGCGAGGGTTGGAGAAGGGGCTTTCTCCAGGACAAACGTGCTGTCAGAGGCCTTTGTTCCTTTGGTGAGCCCTTCCCTGGGGCGGCAGACAGCAGCCATATCAGGACTCCAGCAACCTGGCTCACACTAGTGGCGCCGCCTTGGTGACTCCCTGAGGCCCCGCCCCACCCAACTTTCAGGCCCACCCAAGCTGTTCCCAGTTGCTTAACTATAGGATTGGCCTGTCTTGGATCCTGCTTCAGGTTTTCCTAAATTCTTTCAAAACAAGCAGCATCTGGTCTCAGCTAGTCCCATACCTCTGGTTAAGTAATACACAGAAGCATACACAGGGAGACAGCCAAAATGAGGAGACAAAGAAACAGGTCCCAAATGAAAGAACAGAACAAAACCCCAAGAAAAGAACTAAGCAAAATGGAGATAAGCAACCAACAGATGCTGAGTTTAAAATACTGCTTATAAGGATACTCAATGAACTTAGTGAGGGCCTCAAGAGCATAAAAAAGGACCAGTCAGAAATGATGGATGCAAAGTCAGAAATGAAGGAGGCATTAACTGAAATAAAGAATAATTTACACAGATTCAATAGTAGAGTACGTAAATCCAAGAAGCAAACCATTGATTTGGAATATAAGGAAGCAAAAAATGCCCAATCAGAACAGCAAAATAAAAAAAAGAATCCAAAAAAATGAGGATAGTGGAAGGAGCCTCTGGGACAACTTCAAGCATGCCAACATTCGCATCTTGGGGGTGCCAGAAGGAGAAGAGCGAGAACAAGAAATCAAAAACCTGTTTGAAACAATAATGGCAGAAAACTTTCCTAACTTGGTGAAGGAAACAGACATACAAGTCCAGGAAGCACAGAGAGTCTCAAACAAGAGGAACCCCAAGAGGCCCACACCAAGACACATCATCATCAAAATGCAAAAGGTTCAAGACAAAGAGAGAATCTTAAAAGCAGCAAGAGAAAGGCAGCTAGTTACCTACAAGGGAGTTCCCATAAGGCTGTCAACAGATTTCTCAAAAGAAACTTTGCAGGCCAGAAGGGAGTGGCAAGAAATATTCAGAGAGATGAAAAGCAAGAACCTACAACCAAGATTATTCTATCCTGCAAAGCTGTCATTTAGAATCGATGGCCATCTAAAGACTTTCCCAGACAAGAAAAAGTTAAAGGAGTTCATCACCACCAAACCATTATTATATGAAATGATGAAGGGTCTTTTTGAAGAAAAAGATAAAATATATGAACAAACAAAATGGCAATGAATACATATCTATCGACAATGGAATCTACAAACAGAATGAACAGACAGAACAGAAACATTCTCATAGATAGAGAACATTTTGTTGGTTGCCAGATGGGTGGGGGGTTGGGGGAATGGGTGAAAAAGGTGAAGGGACTAAGAAGTACAAATTCACTGCTAGAATGACAAACCTCAAAGGGAAAGGGGTTGGGGGGTGGGAAGAAATAGACTAAAGAACGTATATGCATAACCAATGGACACAGACAATAGTGTGGGGAAAGGTGTGGGGAAGCGGTGGGAGAGGGGAGGAGGGGGGTCAATGGGGGAAAAATGAGGGACATCTATCTATAATACACCCAACAATAAAGATTTAAAAAATAAAAAACAAAACAAAACAAAAAATATACATCAGGCTACTCTCCAAGGGAAAACCCCTCAAGAAACCCGAAATAGGTGGCACAGGGCAATGTTGCTTGAAGTGGGTTCCCTTGACCACCTGTATGTCAATCTGCAGACGCTTCTTAAAAACACAGGTTCCTGGGCTCCACCCCAGATTTCCAAAAGCAGAATATCTGGGGATGGAACCCACAAATCTGCATTTTTAAGAACCACATGTATATTAAAGTTTAAGAATCACCACCATGGGATTCTTAACCAGAGAGGACCCTGATTCCCCACCTTCTGGTCCTACCTACTGATGTCCCCACCATCCTCCAAGTGACCAGTTCACAGTGAGTCACCTAGATGAGATTAAGTGAGAGATGGCATTAAGTGAGAGAGTGCCAAAGAACTTTATCAGTGTAGGCTGGTGAGCTAACCTTACCTCCTACTGGCTATTTTCACCGCTACTTTTTCCTAAACAATGTGCCCTCTTCAATACTAATTAGCCTAAGCTGCATGCTGGGAATTGACCCAGCCAAAACACTCCAAATTAACCACAGGATCAAAAGCAGTACAGTATTTTGGAACCTAATATGGAAAAATGCAACAATCTCAATATTTGAAAATTTCCTCCAACGTTTCTAATGTAGTTTCAACTTTTAGAAGGCAAGAACAATATAATTAAAATTGACAAATTGAAACATGAAATGATTTTTAAATGCTTACCTAAGAACATAAAGAATTTTTTCCAAGTGTTTAACATCTGAACATTTTTCAATATACTTGAAATCCAAATGTTCGACAGGAATCTTGAATGTTTTTGTTGTTCCAAAGCTCCATAATGATGGATAATCTTTGGCAGTCATGGCTGAAATATAGTATAGGAAAATAGTTATGAATCTAATCTATATAATACTCATTATGAAAAGCAGTAACCATCTAGGTACTTCTATAATAATTCTTTTTTATTTCTAGAAACAAGGAAATGGAGTGTTTTTTCCAAGGAGGATGGCTATTGATTTTAAACTTTCTCTCCCTGATAACAACAGCTAACATTCATGGAGCTAAATTACTCTGCACCATATATGGATTATCTCACTTAATCTTCACTTAAGCAATGTTGAAATACAGTGATTAAGCAGGTTTTGGTGCTATAGAGAAATAAGAAAAAACACTTTTGCTCTACCCTTTTAAGCTCAGTAACTGAGGCCCTATGAACTAAACTGATAGAACACACATTAACAGAAGTAAAGTTTTATTTTATATGCACATGGGGCCTTCACAAAAAAGTAAAAACCCAAAGAAACTGTTCAGCCTGGGAGCCTATATACCATTTTAACAAAGGGTAATAAATTGTGAAAAAGTAATTAGACAAAGGGAAAGGGGTTTTGGCTCCTAGGAGTAAGTAAATATATGGGAGAAACTAATGAAAGGGTTATTTTAGTAAGATTTGTTTATGCAGACTCATTTCAGTGCTGACTGTCCTTGACTATGATAAGGGTTGCTCTCCTCCTAATATAGGACAGGTAGGAAGGGGAAATCTTCACAAAGAGAAATTTATGCCCTGCTTTTAGGCAGAAAGGGGGAGGGTAGAGAGTCCTTCCTGTTGATTATTAATTTTTTCAGCTCAAATAATTCTTATGTCAAACTGGCCTATTTGGGGGTGGCATATTCTGTTCGCTTTAGTATTTAAATTGCTTTTTTGGATATCTTTTAATGTTGACTTGAATGACCTGCTTCTACTTTAGCTGTCTGTTAACATCTCAACCTTCCCTTGGGATTCAGCACAAACATAAATAACATCCTTTCTGTAACTCTTAACCTCACCCTCTTCCCCATTCCCTGTAGCCCACTCCCGTTGACGAACAGCTCCCAGATCTGTGTTCTAATGGCACTCTATACATGTCTCTCATAGCACACAGCACATCCTAGTTGTTTCTCTTTCTCCTCTTCTCGATTGCAAGATCTTATTTTATTCATCTTCGTATCTTCAGGACTAACATAAGTAGTGTATTATACCTCTTAAGAAACACTTGCTGAATTGCATTGAGAATAAGGAGGCCTTGCACAGTTTCATTCTAATGATATTACTGTTGATGATGATGATAATAATAACAGTAACAAATACATCGTTTTTTGTTTGTTTGTTTGTTTGGTTGGTTGGTTGGTTTTGTTTTTTTATCCTTACCCGAGGACTTTTTTTTCCATTTTTTGTTCAGATAGAGTGGGTGGGAGAGAGAGGAAGAGAGAGAGAGAAACACCGACGTGAAAGGGACACGTGGAGTGGTTGCCACCCTCACGACCCAGCCAGGGCCGGGGACAAACTGCAACCGAGGTATGTGCCCTTAGCGGGAACCAAACCCGGGTCTCTCCGGACCATAGGTCAATGCTCTAACCGCTGAGCCAAACCGGCCAGGGCAAATACGTCGTTTTTAATGTGTACTGGGCACCACTCTAATTCTTACACATATTACATCATTTCATCCCTCAGCTACTGTATCAGGTAGGTTTTATTTTAAGTAGAGAACAGTAGTGGTCAATATTTATGGAGCTGAATTACTACTATATGTCATGAATCATCTCACTTAATCTCCAAAACCACTCTCATGAAGGATATTAATAATGACTTCCTTTTTACAAATAAGGAAGTTGATGTTTCAAGTATGTAAACTGCTCAAGATCACTATAAGAAGTGAACTGAGGATTTGAATCTCAGTAGGCAGCTAGAGCCCACATGCTTAATCATCATACCCATGATTTACAAATTTCAAGTGGAAATCCATGAAATCAATTTAGTGAGCTTCGATCAGCATTATTTTATGTTGAGACAGAACATACCATTAAAATTAATATTGTTTTGCAAAACTTTTATTTCGTGTATATGCAAATAGAAATTATAAAAATGTTTATTTACAGTCCTGACCAGTGTAGCTCTCGGCTGAGTGTCCTACTACGCTCTGAAAGGTCACCAGTTCAATCCCAGTCAGGACACATACCCAGGTTTCAGATCCAATCCTGTCCAGGTTCGTGCAGGGGGCAACCCAGTGGATGTTTCTCTCTCATCAATGTTTCTATCTCTTTCTCCCTCTCCCTTCCTCTCTCTGAAATGAATTAAAATATTTTTTTTAAAAATGTGTACATATAAATGCACATATTGCAAAGAAAAATGTATTTTGAGTCATTGTCAAAGATTTTTAAAAAATCACTGCCCTTAAACATATTGGGTGATAAATTTTAAAATAAGTAGCAGCAATGGATCTAATTCATTTGAAGTATTTTTAGCATTCCTGCCCTCTGGGAGTCTAGTCATGTATTGGACCTCTGCAGAAAAAGAGGATGCTCTGTCAGCTCACCTCCTGCTGACTTTAACCTGGGTATAGAATATAGATAATAGTTCGTCAGCATTGGATGGGATACAGCTGAGAAATGAGATCCTGGCTTTCACACCATACCAGCAGGGTCCAGTATGATAAATGTCTCCCATCACAAGGAAAACTTTAAGGGTGGAAGTTACAGGAAAGCAACATAAAGAATTTATAAATTATTGATGCTGCCCAGAATAGTATGGGTTGCCTTAGGAGAATTTTTCCAAAAAGCTGGGGGATCTTTGGTGGGAGAGAATTAATCATCTACTTGGATTAAAATAAATTACCTCAAATTAAAGTATCGTGCAACCCCTGAGATTTTATGATTTGAATAAAATATAGCGGAAAACATTAGAAACAAATTTCATTCTGAACACAGTTTTAACATTTCTCTGAGAATCATTTTTTAAAAATACCATTTTTTGGAAAGAGACACATATTTAAGACCACAAAATATTAATTATCAAGTTCTAAAATGCAAGTTATATAATACTTTATTTGTTCTCTTTAGAACTCTTCCACATCTGTTTTAATTTTTGTCTGATTAGAAAAACCTTTGTTCCTAGTTGTATTTAATTTCTTCTCCATCATCCTGATCCACATCCATTTCCTATATTTCCTACTTGGCTTATCGTAATACCTGCGATGAAAACACAAAAACCTATTTTTTTGCCCCTTACATTTTCCAGGTAAGCCTTCTTTCAAGCATCCACAGGGCCGAGCGCCCCCTGCCGCTGGAGGCCGAAAGGAAACGATATCCTCCAGCCATAGCAACGGTTTCTATGTACAACGCGGCGCGAGAGGGCCCAGGAACTGGCCGCAATCCCGGAGCTGTAGCCGACCCGCAACGGTCAGGGGACACTTTAGTACCCTATGAAATTGTACCCTATTCTCTGACTTTGGTCATCGTGAACCTCCACGTTGCCCCCGGGTTTGACTGCCCCCACTCTGCCCCCACTCCCTGACCAGGATGTTGCCCCCCGGGTTTGTTTCGCCGCCCCTCTCCCCCCCAGGATGTTCCTGCCACAGCGCACTCCCTCACTCAAGATCCACAGTGCATTTGCTCCTGTGTCCGCCTTTCACCCCGGCTCGGAGGGAAGGACTGCGATGGGGGGATGTAGTTCATTCCTGGAGGGCAGGCACTCACCTGGTTCTCAGACCCTGCGCCTTGCGGAGGACAAGGCTGCCGCAAACCTGAGAAGCTGCGCCCCAGGTGACGAGAAAGGGGCGTATTGCAATGCTTAAGCACCCAAGGACAAGGGGCTGATCCCCCGGGGCGGGGATTAGGCCCTCTGCGAGATGATTGGCTAGTCCCGGACCTGACATTCCACTGACTGGCATTACAGGCTCCAGCTTCACCAGGAAAGAGGGCTGTTATGGGAGAAATGAGGAGGGTTGGAGTGTGTGCGTTTCCTTTACTCTCCTTTTCAATTTGTTTCAGATCGGGTTAAAATTATACCACTCTCTTTGGATTGTTGGTATCTACTCCTACTAAATTACACAAACATTAAACGTTCAGGAAATCTATACTGCAACCTAGATTTACTTCCTCCCCTTTATACAGAAGAGTAAATAAAGACAAAGACAAGATTCCCCGTTTTCACGCATTCAACATTTTCTGAGTGCTGGTTAGGAGTCAGACACTGTACTGGGCGCTAAATACAAAAGTGAAGAAATACTACAATTCAGATAAAATAAAACGGTAAAGATTATTTACTGGGGAATTTTGTTTTACCATTTCAGTCTAGTTCAAATAGATAACAAATATGAAGCACCTGGTACAGTGTGTGGCACATAATAGTTCAATAAACGTTATTTCTCTCTCCCTTTTGCACTTAAATTACAGACCTACAATATATTAGCAGGCAATGATAGTGATAAAAATTCTAAATATGACTATATTTATATAATTATTTCCACTGCTGGCACTAGAGATTAAATTTATACATTTATAGACCCAAATTCAAACTTCAGAGTAATCCATAGGCTGTTTACTAAATTCTTTGTCTTGGGGAACAGGCAACAAAGATCACATGCCCCAGAATGTGTAAAGCCACTTCATACCTCATTCTAGCCAGCAAACATCATTCAAAATGATGTGTTAAGTCTAAAACCCTCAGCCTACTATAACTTCATGTTTTACTTCCAGCATAGGAAGAAATCCTTTAAATACTCAGGAAAAGAGATGTAATTCCATATGCCCTGTAATTTTCTTTTCCCTCATTTTTTTTTTTTGGTTATGATTATGTACAAATGTATTTATGATGAATGAACAAGCAAGATAAAAAGCAAGTTGAAGGAAAAAGACTGCGGAGGCAAATGAAAATTTCCACTATGGTTTTCATTGGGAGAAGACATTTCATCAAGAAACAAGGAAAGGTGTGTATGTGTATAAAGTATGGTCAGAAATTTAAAATATACCAGAAATGAAAAACCCAATAAACAAATTAGAAAGTAGTGATAAAGAAATCTTTAGAGCCCTGGCCGGTTTGGCTCAGCGATTAGAGCATCGGCCTGCGGTCCTGAGAGACCCGGGTTCGTTCCCGCTAAGGGCATGTACTCGGTTGCAGTCTGTCCCCGGCCCTGGTTGGTTGTGCGGGTGGCAGCCACTCGATGTGTCCCTTTCACATCGATGTTTCTCTCTCTCTCTGTTCCTCTCTCCCCCCCCCCCCCCACTCTACCTGAACAAAAAATGGAAAAATGTCCTCAGGTGAGGATAAAAAAAAAAAAAAAAAAAGAAATCTTTAGAGAACAGAAAACAAATGAAAGATGAGAAAGTTGTTTAATATTAGATTTTTTTTAAAAAAGATCTAGAGAAAAATGAAAGTTGAAAGTTATTAAATAATTCAAGAATATTTCACAAAATTGAAGAGCTTGGGTTTCCAGACTGAAAGTACCTAGTGACGGCCCAGCTAGTATGGCTCAGGGGTTGAAAATCGACCCATGCACCAAAGAGGCTGCATATTTGATTCCCGGTTAGGGCACATGCCCAGGTTGTGAGCCAAACCCCCAGTGGGGGCATGCAGGAGGCAGCCAATCGATGTTCTCTCTCATCAATGTTTCTTTCTCTCTCTTCCTCTCCCTTCTTCTCTAAAATCAATAAAGAAAAAAAAGTACCCGCCCTGGCCGGTTTGGCTCATCGGTTGGAGCGTTGGCCTGCGGACCAGAGAGTCCCGGGTTTGGTTCCCGTTAGGGGCACATACCAAAAAAAAAGAAAAAAAAAGTACCCAAGTGATCAAAAACAGTGGAAGAAAACTTTATACAGCCCTTCCGGTGTGGCTCAGTGGTTGAATGTTGACCCATGCACCAAGAGGTCACCATTTCAATTCCCAAGTCAGGACACATGCCCAGGTTGTGGGCCAGATCCCCAGTAGGGGCATGCAGGAGGTGGCCAATCAATGTTCTCTCTCACTGATGTTTCTCTCTCTCTCTCTCTCTCTCTCAAATCAATAAAGACAAAAAAATTTAAAAAAAAAGAAGAGAAAAGCAAAGGCACATACTGTAAAATTTCAGAACACTGGCAAAAATTCTAAATTTCCAGAGAGAAAATGGGTCATATACAAAGGATTAAGAATAAGAATGGTTTTGGACTTCTCAGCAATACTGAAAGCTAAAAGACAAAACAATCCTTCAAAATTCTGATGTTGGTGAACACCAGAAAAGTTCATTTCAGGCAGAGAGAAAAGCATGGGAAACGGGACAGGCAAGAAAGAAAAAAGGTCTCTTACCTGTTTAAGGAACTGCAAACATCTCCTTAGAACCAAAAGACAGAGAAGTGGGTTGGAGTGGTGACAGAGGTAAGAGTCATATTACCAAGGACTAAATATAGTATTCCCAATCATTTTGATTTTAGCAAAATGGGAAGCCACTAAGGATTTTCAGCAGGACAGTATCATGAAGTTTATATTTTTAAAAGAGCAATCTGAAGAGTATGGAGGACAGCAAAACCTGTAGCTGGGAGACTAATCCTAAGGCCAATAACAATCATGCATGGAAAACAGTAAAACTTAGAGTAATGGTAATAATAATTAACATAGGCTATTAGGCTGAGTTTTTATGAATTATTTTATTTTGCAACAAGCCTTTGAGATAGGTGCTATAATTTCATGCCCATCACACAAACAAAAGAAGTGAACCCTAGGAAATGATTAATAGATACTGAAATAGAATACTGTTTTTAAAATGAAATTGTGTGTATATAGTTGTATTCATAAAAGTAAGTACACTAATCAAAAGCTATACAACATTAACAGCAAATCCAAATGCGAAGATATTCTTCTGAATTCCATGTTTCACCGAGCGTCAAAAACCACCACTGTTTTAAGCTGAATTAAGGACAAAAAAATTATTTAAAAATTAAAGACTTAATACTTCCAAGTCACTTTCTCTTTATAATAAGCTAGTTATTTAATCTTAAATGCACAAAAGTATGGAATTCATCACTATGACAAGTGGAAATAATTTTTTTTTTAATTCCATTTTTATTAGCCATCTTGCCATGTTTCAAAAGATCAATGCACCAAAAAAACATTGAAGCAATGTTAAAGGTGATAACTTACTGATTTAAAAAGCACTGTGTTACTACACAACAATTTTTTCTGTCTTTCAACTAATTTGGAAGCCTCACTTTTTCCACTTGGTAGCATACTTACAATATTTGTATTTCTTCTATAATTCTATAATTTAGTTTACCCACAAACCCAAGCTCATGAATGAGTATTTAAATACCTGAGAAATAGTCTTATGAGAACCAAAATCAACTAGTATTAAGATTATATAGTACATGCTCAGCCAGTATGGCTCAGTGGTTGAGTGTCCATCCATGCACCAAGAGGTCGCTGGTTCGATTCCAGGTCAGGTCACATGCCCAGGTTTCAGGCTGGATACCCAGTGGGGGCATGCAGGAGGCAGCCAATCGATGTTCTCTTTAATCGATGTTTCTATCTCTCTCTCCCTTTCCCTTTCCCTCTCTCTCTAGAAAAAAAAAAAAAAAATTTATATGGTATATCACTATACACTGGTGATACTGGTCCATGAAAATGCTGATCATGTTTTTTGGGTAATTCAAAAGTTATTACCATTTTTACCAGAAATTAATCTTTGACTATCAACCCAAGAATTATTTTTAACTTCCTTCTACCTCTTTAGAAAGCATAATTAAAAGGATACATCTTTTAGTCCTTTTCTTGTACATTATTCTGTATCCACATTCTCTGCATCTGATTGGATCCCTGGATTTTATTTCACTTTCTGTGTGACATTCTAGAAAAGAAAACATATTAATTATCTAAAAAGAAAATATTACAGAAAGCAAATTATATTAACAATATTTTTCACCCAAATCACTAAAATATACTCAATCTCAAGGCTATGTTGTTATTGCCAATATATTGAGGGAGAAAGATAACAGTTTGGGCAAGGATTTCTATGGTTGCTAAAGTGTTCTGCTTTATAACTTTAAAGATGAGTGATTCGCCCTGACTTATTTGGCTCAGTGGTTAGAGCATCCGACGGGGAAGAGAGAGACCAGGGTTGGGTTCCTGCTAAGGGCACGTACCTCGGTTGCAGTTTGTCCCCAGCCCCACTCGATGTGTCTTTCTCACATGACGTTTCTCTCTCTCCCCTCTCTCCCTCCCACTCCATCTAAAGATAAATGAAAAATTTTCCTCGGGTGAGGATTTAAAAAAAAAAAAAGATGAGTGATTCATTTAAGCCAATGAGAAAATAAAACCCACCACGACTCCCATTGATTTTTAAATGGAGTAGAAGGGAGGAAAGGGGAGAGGGAGAAAGGGAGAGGAAGAAAAACACATCCATGTGAGAGACATGTGGACTGGTTGCCTCCCGTTCCAACATGACTGGGGCCAGGGATCCAACCCGCAACCCTTCAGTCCATGGGCCCACACTTTCACCGCTGAGCCAAAACAGGAGGGCGAAAACAACTCTTAAAAACCAGTAAAATAGTCTTACTTTATGTAAAGTGCTACTATTACCTCCACAGATATATATTATTGGCTGCTGCTCTGGGGGTTGGACGTCCTCCTGGGTGTCCATTGTTAGACCCTGAAATCAGATTCAAATACCGAATATTTCAAAGGGGCTCCTCACAAATCCAACCAGCCCTCATTTTTCTCAGAGAAAGTTAAAAAGGTCCCAATTTCAGCCCTGGCCGGTTTGGCTCAGCGGTTAGAGCATCGGCCTGCGGTCCGGAAAGACCCGGGTTCGGTTCCCGCTAAGGGCAGGTACTTCGGTTGCAGTTTGTCCCCGGCCCTGGTTGGTCGTGTGGGTGGCAGCCACTCGATGTGTCCCTTCACGTCGATGTTTCTCTCTCTCTCCCTTCCTCTCTCTCCCTCCCACTCTATCTGTACAAAAAGTGGAAAAATATCCTCGGGTGAGGATAAAAAAAAAAAAAAAAAAAAAAAAAAAAAAAAGGTCCCAATTTCTAATCTTTACTTTTTCAAACACTATGCATACGTTTTAAAGGAGGAAATAAACAACAACAACAACAAAACCCCCACAATGACTTGCGCACTTTCTCCCAAACTGGGCACAATAATAAATACTTCACACATGTGATTTCACTTATACATGTTACTTTATTACCATCTTTGCAACAGTCCTAGGAGGCATTACTCTCATTTTACAGATGAAGAAACCCAGGCTTAGAGAAGTTAACATGTGCAGGATTGTAAGGAGGCAGAAGAATTCAGAACTGACTGCAAAGCTCGCGTTCCCATGTAGCCCAGGTAAATGCACTATTTTTTCGAACTTTAGTAGGAGATACCCACCCCCAAATCCTAACCAGCCTAGTAGGAGATACCCACCCCCAAATCCTAACCAGCCTAGCACTCTACTCACGGAGTACCGACAAAGTCCTCGCTCTGCGATTCCAAACGGACAGCGGCTCGACGTTGTGCGGAAACCAACTTCCGGCGCCCGCCTGTGACGCATGGAGGCTCCGCCCTTTGCCGCTTCGCCCGGGCGGGGCCAAGTACCCGGATTTTGCACCGACCGAAAGGCGGGGTTTTTGCATTTGGGGCTGCGGGCAGAGAAGGTCCTGTGTCGCTCTCAGCCGTCTTCATTTTTCAGGAAAGCAGAGCGTTTGAACAGTTCCTCAAGTTTAACGAGGTTTGTTTTTCTGACCAATGAAGTCGGGAGAAAGTAACACTCTCCAGGAGGGTCGGAGGGTCGGAGGGAAACCGAAATGACAAACGCCCGGGCAGTTCCAGGCTGGCGGTTAACTCCGAGGAACACAGAAGAATCGTCTCCACCGCCGATTCTCACGTAGAAAAAGCACTTTTCAGATTGTTTTTCAAATCATTTGATATCTGTGCTGGGGCAGTGGAACAGCCACCGCGTCGGCTGCATAGTTTTGTGTTTGCTTTCCCACCTTTCTCTCGTAGACCCCGTCACCCCTCTCGCCCATTCCTTATCCCGTTTGCAGTAAACCTGGCCTGAGGGCGTGTTAATGTAAGAGTCATTTAAACCTGTAAAGAATTTTTGTGAGTTTGAGTCAAATTGTCAACAGCTGTCGAGAAGCAAACTCTTAATGGATTGAGATAACACTCTGGAGAATGGCAGTTTTATATCTTATGTATTATTATTAAAAGAGACAGTGGGTTACGTGACTGATCAGGGAGCTGGGAGAAAGCAAAGCAAGGAAACCTTGGGTTTGGATAAAAAGTAGTGATAGACACATACTTTTTTTTTTTTTTTTTTTTATAGAGGTGGGTATAGGATAGTTAATAGTCAACAATTAATAACAATGAGGGGATTTGTGGTCTTTGCAGAGCAGTGCCTGTGCTTTGAGGGGTTTGGAGAAAGGAAAATTATTTTGGCATTTCAAAGATATGGATGTAAAAAGACAATAGGGTGAAGATTGACCTTTGTCACTGCTTTTGATTAAAGTTTTAATTTCAGATTATTCTTTGAGGTGATTTTAGGTCTTGGAGTTTGTAAGGCCACCATGCAGGCCTCCTGAGCTTGTCAGGTTTAGTATGTGGTCCCTTTTCATCCACAGGCAAGTACATCAACTACTTCTACTTAAGCTAAGGGATTTTGGTAGTGGTAGCTGTCCACTGACCCTCTTTCAATCCCAGGTATTCCTGGCCAATAGAGTTGTGTTATGTTCTAAGGTTGAAATTTCAGTCACTATCAATTGGGTTCACAAGATTTGTTTGTTTCTTTCACAGCAGGTATTTTACTTAGAAGGAGGGAGAAGAAAATGAAGTTATTAAAACAGCCAGTTACCTTTGGGCATCATCTTTCATTTCCAAAAGGAGTTCCAACTGGTTGCACCTCCACAGACCAGTCTGAGAGATTTAACTTGATCTTCCCAGTCTTTCTGGCTGCCAATTTTTAAATATCCAAGGAAACACAGTGGAGTTTCCTGCCTTTTCCTCCACAGAGAAGCTAAAATAGAGCATAAATATTTTGACCATCAGGTCTCTTACAAAGTACCTCTCCTCTCAACCAAAGAGAAGAATATCCCAATAAAACTGCCAAAATAAGCTTTCCTACAAGAAGTATTAGATAAAAACTTTATTATAAGAGAAAGATGATGAAGTAATCCAGAAAATGTAACTTTAATCATTGCAAGTTTTCCTGGATTCTGGCTCTTCAGCTGAGGTATCGAGATGATTCTGGCACATAACACAGCCTATGGAAATCAGAATGAATGATACACAGAGAGTACAAGTGGGTCCTGAGCACTACTAAGGGGAGGGTAATGACAAGTGGTAGCAAGAAGATCCAAAATTTCAAGAAGAGTTCATGTTTGGTGCTAGTCCAGATCCAACACCCTCTTTCCTATTAGCAGGAACCAGTGTTTCAGGATTATAATGGCGCATGTTTAATGGAAGGTATTATCAGTGGTAACAGCTAACATTTCTTGATCACTTTGTGCCAGATTATTGCATTTCCCTCTCCTAATCAGGGTATTTGTTCTGCCATTTTGGATACTAATGCTTTTAACTCCTTAAAAAATGGTTATGGAGGTGCAACTTGCTATTTCCCCCCTGAATCTGTTTTCCCTTTTTATTTTTTATTAATTGATTTTAGAGAGAGAGGAAGGGAGAGAGAGAGAGGAAGAAAAACATGGATATGAGAGAGAAACATAGATTGGTTGCCTCCTGCACATGCCCAGCAACCTAGGTATCAAACCCGAGACCCTTCCATGCACAGGACAGTGCTCAAACCCGAGACCCTTCCATGCACAGGACAATGCTCAGCCAACGAAGCCACATTGGTCAGGGCTCCTTTTTTTTTTTTAATGTAATCATTTTAGTATATCTGCATAGCTTGAATGTCATGGTGATTTTTTAAAAAGTCTTCCATTAGGTTTAACTGAATGGTCTCAAAAAGAAGCATTAGATCTTGGGAAAACAGATGGGATTTAGAATTCTGATGTCACCCTGGCCCGTGTAGCCCAGTGGTTGAGCCTTGACCCATGCACCAAGAGGTCGCCAGTTTGATTCCTGGTCAGGGCATATATCCAGGTTGTGGGCCAAATCCCCAGTGGGGGACATGCAGGAGGTGGCCAATCCATGTTCTCTCTCATCGATGTTTCTATCTCTAAAATCAATAAAGAAAAGGAAAAAAGAATTCTGATATCGGTAACAGGATGACACCCAATCCAGAAAGAGAAGCAAAAAAGCCAAAGACTGGTGGTGGGGGAGTGGGGGGAGAAGGAAAATATAGCTCTATGGCTTACATATGGGGTATCTGAGTAAAGCCAGAACAAGCTAAGCTATGTAAGTAGGTGGCTTTTTGCCCTTTTTGGGAGGGGAGGGATAAAATTAATCTTCCTTGAATGATAGGAGTTATGATATGCTCTTTCACTCTTCAGCTGTAATAAAATAAAAATTAACTAGAGAAAGAGAAAAGGGAAATATTTAAATAGTGCTTGGGGTTGCGTGGTTTTATTTAGCCATAAGCAAAATTCCCTGCTCTGTTTACATTATCATGGGAGTGGGGAGCCACACTGAACACAATAAGTAGCTAATATGGTATTTTATTTTTATTTTTTATTCATTTACTTTTTAATTCTCACCCGAGGATATTTTTACATTTATCTTCAGACAGAGTGGGAGGGAAACATAGAAAGAGAGACATCCATTGGCTGCCACCTGCACAGTCCCAACCGGGGCCGGGGACGAACCGCAACCGAAGTACATGCCCTTGACCAGAATCAAAGCTGGGACTCTGGTCCGCAAGCTGACGCTGTAACCGCTGAGCCAAACCAGCCAGGGCTAATATGATATTTTAGAAGGTGGTGAATTAGAAAGAGAAAATTCAGCAGAGGACTGCAAATGCTGGGCAGGGATTTATTGGAAGAGTTAGAGAGGGCACTACTCACTCTACTTCAATGTGTGGAGGAGGCTACAGAGAGGTGCTCTCTCTGTTTTTTTAAGAGAAAGAAAGGGAGAGGGAGAGAGAGATAGAAACATCGATTGGCTACCTCCTGCATGCCCCCACTCGGGATTGGGCCCACAACCTGGGCATGTACCCTGACCAGGAATCAAACTGGCAACCTCTTGGTGAATGGGTCCACATTCAACCACTGAGCCGCCTTGGCTAGGAGAGGTGCTATCTTGAAGAATGTGTAATTCGCTAATTCCTTACTTTCAGTCCTACAGGTATCACAACAACCTCATACTGAATTAATCTTACTTTCTTTCAAACCTATACTCTTTACTTTCACACCCCATGTCCCCTGTGCAGTTAATTCTGCCAATTTAATATGTGAATCTAGGTTCTTCTCCACCCCCCCTTATCTTTCAGGGTAATGCAGTAGCTCACCTTTCTTCCTTCTGTCCTCCATTCTGTCATCAGAGTCTTTCTAAAATGCTATGTATTGCCTAGAGGATAAACTTCAGACCATTAAGTTAACATGCATGACTTGGCTTATTCCCCTTCTCAAGAGATTTTCACCTTTGCCTCAAACAAATCTTAGTTTCTAGCTATAACAAATCATTTAGTTTCTCTAATGCACTCAAATGTTTCAATTTTTCTGATCATGCATGTTTGTTTGTTTTTTATCCTCGACATTTTTCCATTTTTTGTTCAGATAGAGTGGGAGGGAGAGAGAGGAAGAGAGAGAGAGAGAGAGAGAAACAACGACGTGAAAGGGACACATCGAGTGCCTGCCACCCGCATGACCAACCAGGGCCGGGGACAAACCACAACCAAGGTATGCGCCCTTAGTGGGAACTGAACTCAGATCTCTCTGGACCGCAGGCCGACCCTCTAACCACTGAGACGAACGGGCCAGGGCCATGTTTTTTGTTTTTTTTAATCCTTCACCTGAGGATATGGTTTTTTTTTGTTTGTTTTTAGAGAAAGCAAGAGAGAGACGTGAGAGAGAAACACTGGGCTACCTCCATCCTGACCAGGAATCAAACCTGCAACCTTTTGGTGCACAGGATGATGCTCCAACCAACTGAGCCATCCGGCCAGGCACATTCTGTTTTGAGTTTGGAATCCTCTGTTAACTGCCTTTTTTTTTTTTTGAGAGAGGGAGGAAGGGAGAGAAAGTGAAAGAAACATTGATGTGAGAGAGAAACATTGATGGGTTGCCTCTGGTACTCACCCCTAGGTATATGAACCTGCAGCCTAGGTGTATGCCTTGACTGGGAATGGAACCCCTAACCTCCCAGTGCACTAGGCGATGTGCCAACCAACTGAGCCACACTGGCCAGGGCTTAACTAAGCCTTTTTTTTTTTTATCCTCACCTGAGGACATTTTTGCATTCGTCTTCAGATAGAATGGGAGGGAGAGAGGGAGGAAGAGAGAGAGAGAAACATCGATGTGAGACACATCCGACTGGTTGCCACCCACACAACCCCAACTGGGCAGAGGACAAACTGCGAGTGAGGTACATGCCCTTAGCGGGAACCAAACCTGGGTCTCTCTGGTCTGCGGGCCGAAGCGCTAACCGCTGAGCAAAACTGGCCAAGGCCTTACCTGCCTTTTATTTTATTTTTATTTTTTGGTATATGCTCCTAGCGGAAATGGAACCCAGGACTCTGATCTGTAGGCTGATGCTCCAACCGCTGAGCCAAACTGGCCAGGGCCTTAACTGACATTTAAATGGTCACTTGTTGCCCTGGGCGGTTTGGCTCAGCAGTTGGAGTGCCAGCCCGCGGACCAAAGAGTCACAGATTCGATTCTAGTCAAGGACACATACCTCGGTTGTGATTCCGTCCCCAGACCTGGTTGGGGTCATGCGGGAGGCAACCAATCGATGTGTCCCTCTCTCTCCCATCCTCTCTGTCTCTCTCTCCCTTCCTCCCTCTTTTTCTCTCTCCCTCTCTCCCTTTCTATCTGAAGATAAATGGAAAAAATATCCTCAGGTGAGGAATAAAATAAATAGTCACTTGTCCTTCAAAATCCACCTCACTTTATGAAGTTAGCTCTGCCCCCTCATCCACTGCTGTTCCTCTGTTATAGCACTTACACCAGTGTGCCGCTTAGGAACAGTAACTGCTTTACTAACTTCGGATTTCCAGGACCCCAACCAGTAACTGGTCACAGCTTAACAGTTGTTAGTGAATTTGATTTTAGATATATGTCATTTTGGATGACTAAGGGACAGTCATGGAGAAATGTCCAGTCAGAGGAGACTGGTGGCAGTTGCTACTGACTTAAAAGTAATGGCTCAAGCTTTGAAGGAGAACCGTGTAAGCACAGAAGGGTACCGCAGGGAAAATGCTGAGGCAGGGCACCCACTTAGGGAATAGGCAGAGGAAAAGCAGCCAGAAAAAGAAGACTAGAAAGAAGGATGAAACCTGGCATATAATAGGAGCCCAGTAAATGAGATAAAACATCCCTTTTTAGATGCCTAAAAACCAAGCATAATCCTGTCTAGAAACACATACTGTCACCAAGTTAGACCTTGTAGATCTTATCCTGGGTATACCTATACTTCTAACTAAAAAGGGCCATTCTGTATGTAACATGCTTTTTGATTCTCTCTGGAAACATTTTCTAGTGAATATTCCCCTACATTATTTTTAAGGTCATCTACTCTAGGACCTATTATTTTTTCTATATAATGCTCCCCAAAGTGAGGAGGAGGAGAGGAAGAGCAATGAAACTGTTGAAAAAATTAAGGAGTAAAGTATTTGCTAGTCTCATTCCTTACAAATATAATTACTGAGTCACATTTCTTTAATTCACTTGAATTCTTTATTTGAAATGTTAAGACTATTCAGAAGGGTGGGTTTCCCACAAATAGTTGAATTTAGTGCTATTGTACTTTAGTGCTATTAGAATCACAAGGTAATAAAATCATGTAAAAATGATGCTGCCAGACTTTTTTTTTTTTTATCAGGTGTAGTTCAAGAAAATATTTCTGCGTGGGCAGGAGAGGAAGAGACACCCCTGAGCGAAGGCTGGGGCCGGGTCGCGGGGCGGCCGATGGGGGCGCCGCGGAGCCGGAGGAAGGGGCGGGGCGGGGCGGGGCGGGCAGTTCAAACCGAAGGAGGGCAACGCGGCGGCCCCACGCGAACCTGGCGTGGAGGTTGCCATAGCCGATCTCCCTGGGGGCGAGGCCGTGGCTCCTCCCTGGCGCACCCGGCAGAGCTGCTGCGCTCTCCTCCCGCCCCGCGGCCCGGTCGGCGCGGCCCCTTAGTCTGCAGTGGGTGGGAGCAGGGGGCCCAAGTGTGGGCGGGCTAGCGGGCCTCTGGGCGTCCCCCGGCCCCGCGCCCCACTTTGTTTTCCAGGTCCTGGGACTAGAGAGGCGCCTCGAAGCCGTCCACATCGCTTGCTCCGCTCCAGGTGACACCCACCCATCCTCGGCCTGTCGGTGGCTTTCTGGGCCCGGAGCCCTGGCGGCCCCGCCTCGGGAAGGTCTCCAGCCTCCCCGCCGGCCTGGCCGTGGGAAGGTCGGGGAGGGACGCCGCGGTGAGACCGTTACCCGCCCGCGCACAGCACCCGGGGAGGCAAGACGGCGCCCCAGCTCACCCTGCGTTTCCAGAAACCCGAGTTTGGGAGTTGTCCTCACTTCTAACACTAGTTGGAGAAAACGAGGATATTAACATTCCTGTTGTCTGGGAAAGCTGAAGGAAATTCAATGTGATTTAGGGCTTTTCAAGTGTTAGAAATAATCCCTGCAACATGAACTTTCGTACCTTCATGTTAGCAGTCGCTGCTGCATGTTTCAGTTAGTTATTCACACTAAGCTTTTCTCTTTAAGTGGTATTTATTTGACATTAATTTTAAAGACAAAGTGAGAGATTTTCTTGTTTGGAAGCCTACATAACTTTGACACCTAAGAGCTCAAGATTTACTGATGGTAAGATTTTCCACTTCAACAGGTGAAGGAGATTATGCTTTAATAGAGTTTAAATAATAAGTATTTCTCTGATTTGACAAATGCTCCCCCCACCGAGCACTGTAAAGATAATTTTTCTTGACCCTTTATCAGGAGCCTGGAGTTAAAAACTGAATATCATATCGACGAGGCTTGTTTGATTCATCAGTGATCTGTTGAGTCAGTAAAATTAAGTAAGTCAATAGGGCATTCCATGATTTGGCAGGAATCATTTTAAAAATTAGTGTTGAAGAACCGAGTTTTTTTTCAGACCAATGTCTTAGGGTAGTAGAAAGATGAAGGTTTTGACAACAGAGATAGCACGTTTGAGGCAACTTCAAATGTGTAGGTGAACAGGAAAAAATTAGAAAGTGTGTGTGTGTGTGTGTGTGCTATAACAAGTAGCTTACAGCCCGGCCGGTGCGCCTCCGTGGTTGAGCATTGACCCATGCACCAAGAGGTTGCCGGTTGGATTCCGGGTGAGGGCACGTGCCCAGGTTGTGGGCCTGATCCCCAGAGAGGGGCATGCAGGAGGTGGCCAACTGATGTTCTCTGTCATCGATTTTCTGTCTATCCCTCCCTCTCCCTTCCTCTCTCTCACTAAAAATCAATAAAGAAAAAAACAAGTAGCCTAGGGTTTTTAAGGGGAGAGGATGCTATCTATATCCCCACTTTGTTTCTAAGGATTTGCCGGTTTCCCAAAGTCTAGCACGGTGAGACACCTAGTGGTGAAGTAGTAGAATTGTTACATTTGTTTTAAATTTTTAAAAAGATTCCCTGACCTAATTTTACCAAATGACGTGAGTGAAAATTGTTACTTAATAATGATTCCCAGGGAGGGGGAAACATTCATGGTTGGAGGTGAAATTTAAAACATATTCTATTTTATAAACTTAATATTTTGAAAACAAAAATTGTTTTCAAATAAAATACAAATTATAGAAAGCAAAAGTTGATAGTCTTGGCTGGTAAACATGTACAGAAGACAGCAGTGATTCTCAGGATCTGAGGGGATCTAGATCAGAAGTAAACGAGTAAAATTTACCAGAAAGGAATATATGTTGAAAAACACTTAGATACTTTGCCCAGTAATAATGATCTCCTAAGGATCATTATATCATAAAGAAACCATTTCGTTTTGTGGTTAGAGTAGCAATTTAAAAACAAAAACTTCATTCATTCAACTATTTAATTGATATAACTTAGGCATAAATAAATTACTTTCCCATTAATCCAAAATATATCTTCCAGGGTCTTTTAATACAGAAAAATCATATTTGGTCTGGAGAAAACTTTGAAAGATTGACAGGTGTCTTAGTATCCTTTGAATAATCTGGAAAAATATCAGAAACAGTGACAGCTTTCTTATCTTTCTTTGAGTTAAGATTTAATTTGAATTTCTAAAAAGAAGGAATGCAATGATACTGTTGAAAAAATTAAGGAGTAAAGTATTTGCTAGTCTCATTCCTTACAAATATAATTATTGAGTCACATTTCTTCTTTAAGTAATTTACTTGACTTCTTTATTTGGAATGTTAAGACTATTCAGAAGGGTGGGTTTCCCACAAATAGTTGAATTTAGTGCTATTGTACTTTAGTGCTATAAGAATCACAAGGTAATAAAATCATGTAAAAATGATGCTGCCAGACTTTTTTTTATCAGGTGTAGTTCAAGAAAATATTTCTGCACGGTGCTTAGATTATGCTTAGTCCAGTTAAGAAAAAAAGTAACATTTTTATTGTCATAAAATTTCCATTATTATCTGTACTCATAATGAATAATATATTTTGGTGTAAGCTGTCAGGCTACTCATTTCAAAGGAAGAATAAAATTTGTTTTCACTTTTTAGAAACAGATATTGAAGATGTCAGAAAGGAACTCAGGTCAGGCTGGAACTGGAGCAGGAAATGAGGTGGACTCTCCTACTATCAATTTCAAGTACTCCAACTTCAGAGATTTTTGTTCCATATCTTCATCTCAAGATAGTGGCTACAGTGAGTTGTTAAAATCTTGCAGCTTTGATAATACAGATAAGGAATTTCTTGGAAAGATGGAAAAATGTTCAACATTAAACTGTGAACATCCTGAAACTTCAAGTCTGGGCTTAACACAGCCTTTAGAGACTCCTACTAAAAAAAAGAGATTTGTATTCCCTAGGAAAGAAATGGATAAAACCCCAGAACTTTTTGAAACTCCTAAACTCAGTGGAAAAAGACGTTTACTGCGCAGAAGGCTGGATGTATCTTTCTCTCTTTTAAAGGGAGACTTTGAATCACAAAATAGTTCTGTAGAAAGTAATATAAGCCAAGTTCTCAACCTAGCAAAAAACATTACAAGCAGTGCTTCATGTTTGTCAAGGCAAAATACTTTTAATACTTTAGTTACTAGCACTTTGAAAACAGAAGAAGTGACTTCCAGCAGTCAAAAATTGAGACTTAATTTTTCTCAACAGAAGACGTCCACAGTTGATGACTCCAAAGATGACTGTAGCCTGTTTGAAGTTGAATGTATATCTCCAATTCAAGGCAATGATTTTAAAGACTCTATCACCCTTAACTTTAGTGATAGTAGTCTATGTGTTAATGATGAGAATACATATCCTGAACTTCTGGGCCCCTCTGATAGTGGAACAACTTGTGAAACAGATGAGGACATATTTGTGACTCCAATAAGTAACCTTGTAGCAAACATTAAATTTAAGGCAAGTCAAAGGCTTTCTCCTTCAACTGAAGTGAGAGCCAATATTTCAACCCCTGAAGACAGTGGTTTTAACTCACTTTGCTTGGATAAATCAGAAGATTCCCTCTCTGACCAGGAGAGTTTGTTTCAAGAACTACTTCAGAAACATAAGGGAACTCTCAAAGTGAGGGACACCATAAGGTCAAGACGTCTTGGAAGGTTGAGAAGACTGTCCACCCTTCGGGAGCAAGGCTCACAATCTGAGACAGAAGAGGAAAACCAGATTTTCCACTCTGACTCTGAAACAACACCAGCAGCTATTTCAGACATCTCAGAGAGTCAGCCCAGCAGCAACAGTTCAAGTGGGGATTTGATTTCAGGCTTTAAGAATTTATCAAACACTCCAGCCTTACAATTAGTGCATGAGCTCTTTATGAAAAACAAAAGGAAAAGATTCCACCAAACTGGTGCATGTGAATTCTTAGAAGAAAGGGACGAGGGGAAAATAGCTGTACTACAGTGTGTACTGGCAGGACTGATTGGCAAGAAAATGGGTATAGAGAAACTGGACATCTTAACTGAATTAAAATATAGAAATTTAAAGCATATTCTTGCAGTTGTTTTAGATTCCTTGACTACAGAAAGCCTATGCAGGTAAGAAATAAAATTTTCTTCTGGAGTAAAACAGACTTTTATCATTTTTTTAAGTTGCAAAGCTTTTTATAAGCTGAATAGGTCTATTTTCCTGATAAAGCTTACCAGTATAGTTTTTTTTCTTCTCCATTTAAAAGCCTGTTTTAGAAGCAACAATATAGTCTTCAGGATAAAATTCATGTCCCTGTCATTTGGTAGGAGAATTTATAAAAGTTGAACTTTAGATTTTCAAAATGGCAAACTTTGTTCCATGAGAGTTATTTAATGATTTATTTAATAATTTACATCCTGTTGTCAGATTGCAAATTGTAGTTATGATACTTGGTAAGAAATAATGTAAAGCATTATGGTGACTAAGAAATGACAGCATACAAAGGATACCATTTAGTTTTTTAAGTTCTAGAATCCAAGAACAATGGTTAGCTTTTATTTTAGGATCTGCTCTTTCCAGAGACCAAGGGAATGTGGATTATTTCATTTTAATTAACACAATAATGGAAATTAATTATTTTTGAGAATTCCAAGGAATTAGAGACAAGAATTTGTGATCACAGAGATTTCAGTGTACTGAGTGCTTGTTACATGATTAAAGAGAAACCAAGACACTTAGGAGTATTGAGGGTGGGAACTAGGGTTACAAAGACTAAAGTGAGACTTCATACTGGCAATTTTGGGGAGTCACAGGACTATCAGAAGCAAGACCCTTGGTAATGTCATAACTAGGAAGGCAGGAAGGCATGTGGAACAGGATTTCTGCAAAATGATGGTTGGGGGAGGACATGCAGGAGAGTTAGTGAGCCTCTGTTTCTTTTTTCTTTTGCATTTATCTTCACATAGAGCAGGAGGGAGAGGAGGGAAGAGAGAAACATCAATGTGAGAGAGAGGGGAGAGACATCAACTGGCTGCCACCCACACGGCCCCAACTGGGGTCGAGGACAAACTGCAACCTAGGTATGTGCCCTTAGCGGGAACTGAACCTGGGACTCTCTGGTCCGCAGGCCGATGTTCTAACTGCTGAGCCAAACCGGCCAGGGCAGTGAGCCTCTTTTTCAATAGTGAGTTTGGTTCATATAGTACTTGCTGTTTTTATGGCCACACTACTTCTATTAGAGCCCTTCTTCACCTTTCTCCCATAAATGACTTGTAGGCCATTATAGAGAACTGTAATATTTCATAGCTGGAAATCAGAGAGATCTAGTCCAATCCTGTATTTTGAAGATAAGGAAACTGAACTCCAGAGAAGCTAAGTGATCGGTCAATAGTCACTAAAGGAGACAAGAATAGATCTAGATCTACAGCTGAGCTTTCTGATTTCTAATCAGGAATTTCCCTACAAACTTACTAAGGTGTAAAGCCTTTCCAGATAGATTTGATCAGGAATGTACTTGGTCTAACCGAAGTAGGATAATAAACAGATTAGTGCACTTATATGCATACATTTTTTAATTTTTTAATCCTCACCCGAGGACACCTTTCCATATTTTGTTCAGATAGAGTGGGAGGGAGAGAGAGAGAGAGAAACATCGACGTAAGAGGGACACGTCGAGTGGTTGCCACCCGCACGACCCAACCAGGGACGGGGACAAACTGCAACCGAGGCACATGTCCCTAGCGGGAACCAAACCCGGGTCTCTGGACCATAGGCCGATGCTCCAACCACTGAGCTAAACCGGCCAGGGCTGCATACACTTTTTAAAAATATTCAAATGAGATAAATTATTTGTTTAAAAATTAAGAGATGGCTGAGATATAGAAATTTTATTTTTATATGCTGGAGTACTTGGATACTGATCAGTTAAAATAAAAACTTAAGTGATGTGTTTGGTTGCTCATTTGTGGGAGTAGTTGATATTCAATCATATTTCAATAATTACCTCTCCTGCCCAGCCCTCCAAATGTATAATATTTGTACTGAAGAAGGCATGTATAATGTTAGCAGTGCTCATTCTTGATAATTTGAGATTATGGTTAGTTGAAATTGTGGCAAATACCCAATATATAGTTCATTTCTTCCCAGTTAATGGTAACTTTCTGCCTGTTCCTTTTCATCAGCCTGCTATAAAATAACATGCATCAGTTTTAGGGAGAGTCAATGGCAACTGAAGCAGCCATGGTAGCTGGAAGAATAGTCGTGTTGACAACTCAGGTATTAACCTGGGCTTCCTTAACCTGTGACTTTGTTTTTCAACTGTCATTGAGTAAATAGTTAAATTAGTGTAATAAAAAAAACCAGATTAACAGTTGAAGGATTACCTTTTCTTTAATAGTTAGTATATTCAAGGTTATTGATAAATAAGCAATCACTGGACAAAAATTTTTTTCTTTAGCTGCTTCATTCTTACAAACTTTGATTTATAAGAAACTTTGTGTTTCTTATAATAATAAGAAATTCAAATAATAGTACTTATTAATTGACACTTAGTACTTCTAATGAAGGATTGATTGTCCTTGTTTGTTTAATTAAAATGACAGATTTGTTAAATACATGTATAGGATAAATTGATAACAAAAAAACACAGCCCTGGCCGGTTTGGCTCAGCAGTTGGAGCATCGGCCTGCGGTCTGAAGAGACCCGGGTTCTGTTCCCACTGAGGGCACGTGCCTCTGTTGCAGTTTGTCCCTGGCCCTGGTTGGGTCGTGTGGGTGGCAGCCACTCGATGTGTCCCTTTTACATCAATGTTTCTCTCTCTCTCTCCCCCTCCCATTCTATCTGAACAAAATATCGAAGTATGTCCTCTGGTAAGGATACACACACACACACACACACACATACACACAACCCTCTTACGCTGTCGATGATGATCATTTGCTGTAAGTCATGTTCCAAATTTTCAATCTAAGTGTCACATTTGAAGTTAAATCCTCATAATCAGTCTCTTGTGGACTCATCTTGGCTTTATGTAAAACTGTTTTTCCCTTAACTATTTATAAGATAATCTATCAACATAATGTTGGCATATATTTAATATTTTAATAGGATTTCTTTCATATCGTGAAACAGTTGGTACGTGCCCCTAGCAGGAACTGAACCCGGGACTCTCTGGTTCTCAGGCCGACTCTCCAACCGTTGAGCCAAACCAGCCAGGGCTAATGTAAATTTTTAGGTTTAAATTTACTGTCCAAAATCTTTAAAATCATTTTCTTATTAATTTCCCTATGCAGACAATGGTAATATTGTGGGATGTATACAGTATAAGGATTGATCTTTTTGTTACAGTGTTTGGAAAGTGAGCAGAGATTGGCGTGAAATTATTGTACAAGATAAAAAAGCAAATGAGAGGAGAAAATTTTATATCACACAACTAAAAACATATTCTGAGGTAATGTATATAATACTTTTCTAAAATATAAGCATCTATTAATCCCACAGTCTAAACTCTTACTTTCCCCAAATTCCATTTCCTTCTGGACTGTAAGTGGAGTAAACTCTTGTTAGGTTTTGTTGTTGTTTAAATGTATGTGCTGTTAGCAATATTTGAATACCAATGATATGCTGGATCCTATTCATAATTAGATATTCTTATAGCATTTTTTTTTCAGTCTTTTTAGTGGATATTATGTGCTAGTTGCTTAGATTACAGTAGTGAACATTTCTGACATGGTTCCTGCCCTCTTGGAGTTCATGCCTTGTGAGTGATACAGGAAGGGTTAGAGTTAATTCTATCAGAACATTTAAAAGGAATGTTTGATACTTGGGGATCAAGAGAAGGCTTTTCAGAAAAAATGCATCTCAGCTGTGACCTGAATGATCAATTAGCAGTTAGCCAGGTGAAGACAGAATAGTGTTTCAGCAGAGGGAATAACATATGAAGGCCTGGAGGTGAGTGAGCATGGCAGATTATGACTAGTAAAGCATCATAAACTTGTACGCCTTTGGAGATTTGAGGTCTAGCTTTGAAGCTACAAGAAAAGTCCTACGGATGCTACCTGCTGTAATAGGTATCTGATAACTTGGGCACCCATATTTCTTTCTTTCTTTCTTTTTAATTTCTTTTTCTCTTTATTGATTTTTAGAGAGAGAGGAAGGGAGAGGGAGAGAGAGATAGAAACATTGATGAGAGAGAACATCGATTGGCTGCCTCCTGCAGGCCCCGCTCCCTAGCTGGGGATAGGGCTCACAACCTGGCATGTGCCCTGACTGGGAATTGAACAGGCAAGCTCTTAGTACATGGGTCCATGCTCAACCACTGAGCCACACCAGCCAGGCTCGAGCACCCATATTTCTTATATGTTCGACTTTTAGACCGTTCTTAGGCACCAACACCAAAAGAAACTGAGAGTTCATCCCTTTATTCTTGCCCAAGTAAAAAGTATTTAATAACATATTTTTTTAATTTATTTTAAAAAAGATTATCTTTATTTGTTTAAATATACTTTGACTGATTTTAGAGAGAGGAAGAGAGAGGGAGAGAGAGATAGAAACATCGATGAGAGAGAAACATCAACATCGATTGGCTGCCTCCTGCACACCCCATGCTGGGGATGGAGCCCACAACCTGGGCATGTGCCCTGACCAGGAATCAAACCAGCAACCTATTGGTCCAGGGGTCGACGCTCAACCACTGAGCCACACTGGCTGGACTTAATAACATATTAAAGGAAATTTCCAATTTGATTAAATTTGATTAAATATAATAACACTGGCTGGACTTAATAACACATTAAAGGAAATTTCCAATTTGATTAAATATAATAACTGAAATGAAGTGTGGCATAAAACAAACAAGAACACCCAGATACAGATTGGTGGGTTTCTCATTACAGTGAAATATTAGGGACTGCTGTTAACTAACACACCAACTTTTTATTTTACTTTGAAGAATCAAAGTTTTACCTTCCTGCTTGTAATGACTTGCCTTACAAATATTCACAGCTCCTGGCAACTTATGGCTACAGCTGCTGGATTTGGGAGCTTATAATAATGAAGATATTTATTGCCTTGCTAATATATCTTTCTAGAGTGCTGCCTTACCTGCTAACGACAGACTTAAAACACAGTTTTTGAAGCCAGCACCTGTTAATAGTAAACTTTCAGCCTCATGTACTCCTTACATCTTATAAGGAAGAAACCTGTAATTGTGTTTGGCAACCTTTTAGGTAATTCTAAATAAAATATTCTGTCTTCATAGCATAGCCACCACTTTTTTAAATGTTGGTTTCTTAAGGGACTATACCTTTTCCCCCTTACTTGGACTTGTTTTCCTTATTTTGGTTTGCTTTACAATTTTTTTTTTTTTCAAAGTAAAACAAATACATGATGATAGTCAAATTGGATGATGAGGCTTATAACAAAACACATCCTCTTGCCCTATGCCTTCCCACTCTTGATTCTTGTGCCATCAAGGCAATCACTTTCAACTCTTTAGTTGTTCCTTCTGATATTTACATTTCTAAATAGAATGCCTTTACTGCTGTTTTTTGGCATTTTTGCTACAGAGATTGTTTGTTCTCTAACCTCTCACCACTACTACCCCTACCTATCTACCCACCTCTCTCTGAATGCCTTTCTCCTATCTTAATGAATATAACTACACCATTTGGGAGTAAATCAGAATTAGGTGCTGACATTACAAAGACTTGAGATTATTATGACTTTTTGACAGTTGTAATATGCAGTACACTATGATTAGATTTTTTTCTTATATAACTTGTTTTTCCCCAGAGTTAATAATTGCCCAGCTTTTTCTTTTTTGCTTAGTGTTTCTCTGTACAGGTCCCTGATTCATCTCCTATTATCCATCAGAACTGGAAATCTCCTCTCTGTAAGTCCAAACATACCAGGTATTCTGCCTGTTCCTTCTTTTCCTCCGAGACATCCTTCCTGGTGTCCTTTGCCTTCTTATTCTAATATTGACTGGTTGAGTTCTACTTGAACTATTCTAATGTATCATTCACTGAAACAAAAATTATGAAACAAAGTTGTGTAGGTGGTTTTTCTCATACTTGTGTATCATCACTGAAATCTCCTTCTGTGTACAGATTAGAAGGCACAGACCAGCTACGTGTAGGATCTCAGTTTTATGTTTGCTTTGCAGCAGTGAGAATGAACATTACAATTGGAATACTACATCTTTCCCATTGCATTTCTAAATTTCCTGTGTTCTGCGCTGTTTTCTTTTAGTCATAGAAATGAACAACCATAACGTGACTTCATTCTCACACTTAAATGTTTTCTGGTAACACGTTGATGACTACGTTTCAGAAAATTTTGGTGTTCACAAACATTTGCCTTTAGGGATAGGACTGTTTAATTCACTTGACACCTCAGGTGTTCCATAAATATTTGTTAAATGAATGAATGTTTCTTCTGTGGCTGAAATTTGCTTCAACAATCTATTTCTATTCAATATTGGTAAATGCACAATCATTGCGTTTAGCAACTTCATTGAAATTTTAGAGTGCCATTGTGTCATGTGCTTGTGGCCTAGGCTGCAAACCATTTATTTATTTATTTTTAGTTATTAAAATATTGTTATTTATTTTAATCCTTATCCAAGGATATTTTTACATTTTATCTTCAGACAGAGTGGGAGGGAAAAAGAGAGAGAGAGAAAAAAAAAACATCGATGTGAGAGAGACACATCGAATGGCTGCCTCCTGCATGACCCCAACCAGGGCCAGGGACCAACCGCAACCGAGGTACATGCTCTTGACTGAAATTGAACCTGGGACTCTTTGGTCCACAGGCCGATGCTCTAACCACTGAGCCAAACCGACCAGGGCAGGCTGCAAATCATTTATACAAATGTAATGTAGAGATGTATTGAGTCCTTGAGAAAGTTCAACTGTATTTATTCTAATTTCTGAAAATCAATATTCATCCATTACACTTATGCATATATTGTTAAACTGTTAATCGTGTAATTGATCACACCAGCTAACCTCATTTCCTATATTTATCCTACCATAATTTCTCATGTTTTAGGTCTCCCCATTGCTAGGAGCCAATAGTGGCTGAGAGAAACTATAAAGGGAGAGGAAACAAATTATAGTAGGACACATGTGGAAATGTACCTGAAGTTAGTTTTCCTTCCTTCCTTCCTTCCTTCCTTCCTTCCTTCCTTCCTTCCTTCCTTCCTTCCTTCCTTCCTTCCTTCCTTCCTTCCTTCTTTAATTTTAGGCCTTCCGGTAAAAACCGGAAGACCTACTAGACAAATTCAAAAAGAGCTGTAAGCACTCGAAGTTCATTTTATTTTGATCATTGGTTAAGAATGCCAAGTTGTTTAAAAAAAAATACTTTTTTTTGTAATTACCAACTTCGACAAAATAGAAGGCTGTAAGGATTGTTCATTGAAAATATTTCTTGGCTGAATATTTGAGTCCTGTGGAAATCCAGTTTAGATAAGAATGATTTCTTTTTCTCTTTTAAAAATATCAAAGCTGTTTAAAATTTAATGGTAAAAACCGCCCTGGCCGGTTTGACTCAGTGGTTAGAGCGTTGGCCTGCGGTCCAGAGAGACCCGGGTTCAGTTCCCGCTAAGGGCGCGTACCTCGGTTGCAATTTGTCCCCGGCCCTGGTCGGTCGCGGGTGGGAACCACTCGATGTGATCCTTTCGCATCGATGTTTCTCTCTCTCTCTCTGTTCCTCTCTCTCCCTCCCACTCTACCTGAACAGAAAATGGAAAAATGTCCTCGGGTGAGAATAAAATTTAATGGTAAAAATGAATGAAGTATTTATAAGTATTGCAAAAAACAGCCAAACAAATTGAGTCTCATGGTCTAACCAGCCCCATAATTCTTTTGATATGTGGCAAAGGTAAGAAACCTGCAAAGAATTTCATGATATACCATAGCAAACTTTTAAAAGGATTTATCCCTTCTGAGATGTTGGCTTAAAACAGGTTGGCAAACTCCAGTCTATTGGTCAAATCCTGTCTATCACCTGCATTTTAAAATTAAGTTTTATAGGAAGTCGGCACTGCTCTTTCATTTACGTGTCTTTGCAGCAGCTTTTGCTAAACCGGCAGCTGAGTAGCTGCAACTGTCTGGCCTGAGAAGTGTAAAATATAAGCTGTCTGGCTCTTTTCAGAAAAAGTCTGCCAACCCATGCCTTAAACAGAAAAATAACTAATTTAACATTTATTTTAATATTTTAATTATATATTTCTTTGACTTTTAAATGTTAGATGAGAGAAAAACATTCTCTAAAAAGGAATGGTGTAGGGAGAAAATTCTAGTGGTGTAACACCATGTCCAAACATTTAAATACATGTGTGTCCAAAAGCTATCCTAGAACTTTTGATGACAGTATTGACCCCTCTTGTCTTTTACCACAGCAGGCCGTATTAAGTGTTCAGGATGCTGCTACTCGGCTGCACCTTTTAAATCGATCAGCTTTAAGATCTGTACAAGCTCAGGCTAGAACACCAAGTTCTCAGAAAGAACCAGTCTTAACATTTTCTCCTTGGGGAGAACTTTTGACACCTATAGCAAGTTCTTCAGTTACTCACTCACGTAGTAAACAAGAAGAATATGTTAAGGTGAGTATTATGTTATTAGAACTAAATATTTACGTAGTTTGAAAGTGATTCTGTATATGAAACTGGAAGATTTAGTATGTATACTTTTACTGCAGGTTGCCAAAACACTTTTTATTGATGAAGCATTAAAACCTTGCCCAAGGTGCCAATCCCCTGCTAAGTACCAGCCATATAAGAAAAGGGGACTGTGTAGCCGCACAGCCTGTGGTTTTGACTTTTGTGTGTTATGTTTGTGTGCTTATCATGGGTCTGAAGAATGTAGTAGAGGAGCAGCAAAGCCAAGAAATAGAAAAGATGCTCTTCCAGGAAGTGCCCAGAGTAAGCGGAATTTAAAACGCCTCTAAAACACCTCTAAAGAGACTTTAAATATAAAAGAAGCATTCCCCCAAGCAATGTTTAGTCTGACTGGAAATTATGGCTATTTTGAAAGCATGCAAATTTTCCCCTTAATGACAGATGATGATTTATTTCCTATTTTGTGTATATTATAATCCATGTCATTGTATATATTCTTTAAGGTGGTGAGTTTTGAAACAACATTTTACTATGTCGCTTTTACCCATTTTAATAACTTAGTGTTTTTAAATAAAGAATTTTTATTGTTATATGTAGGTATTTAACTGTTTCATGTAATATTTTAAGTGCATTCATCACCATGTGTCAAATGTTCTTCAATTTGAAAAATAGTTTTCCAAATAATATTACAAATTTTGACCTTGAAGTAGATGGTTTTATAGATTTGGAAAATGTGTATTTGACTGAAATGAAATATAAATAAAATGTTTTCAGAAGTTCTATTGAATTTATAATTTCAAGCTTTCTCTTAATTTGGTGAGTGTCATATTTGGGTAGACTTCTGTTAAATAAAATTTATTTAATATTGATAACTAAGAAGACATAAAAAGTAAATTATTAGACATATATGATTAATCACAATGGGAATATTAGTCAGTTAATAAACCCTTGTAAGTCACACATTTCATATAATTACTGTTTTGGTTGTTAATCCTCACCTTGAGGATATCTTTTCATTCATTTTTAGAGAGAGTAGAAGGGAAGGAAGGAGAGAGAGAGAGAAACATTGATGTGTGATAGACACACATCAGTTGGTTGCCTCCCAAATGCACCCTGACTGGGGCTAGGGATTGAACCTGCAAACCCAGGTATGTGCCCTTGACTGACAATCAAACCCATGACCCTTTGGTGTGTGGCTCAATACTCTAACCACTGACCCACACTGGCCAGGGCCATATAAATACTTTTTAAAATTCCAAAACCATAATCACAGGTTTAATTCTAGCCTGGGTAACAAATTTGGGCTGGTTGGAAAAGATAAGGTTTTTTAAATAAGAAAATTTATTAAATTGCTTATAATGTACCTGTTTCCAAAAGTTATTTGAGGTTGCATGTTTATTAATAGAACAGCAGTAAGAAAGAAATACATTTATTTTTATTTCAATTTCCTTTATTATTTATTTTTATTGGGGTGACATTCATTATAGGATCATATAGGTTTCAAGTGTACATTCTTTGATACATGATGTGTATATTGCACTGTGTGCCCACCACCCAAAGTCAAATCATCTTCCATCACCATATATTTGGCCCCTTTAACTCTTTACTATCCTCCATGCCCCCTTCCCTCTGGCAACCATCACACTGTTGTCTGTGTCTATGAATTTTTGTTTTATACACCATCTGTGAGTGAAATTGTATGGTTCTTAACTTTTTCTGTCTGATTATTTAGCATAGTATTCTCAAGGTCCATCCATGTTGTTGCAAATGGCAGTATTTCATCTTTTCTTATGGCTGAGTAGTATTCCATTGTGTATAGGTACCACATCTTCTTTATCCAATCCTCTATCACAGGACACTTTGGTTGTTTCCATTATTCATTATTTTAATAAGACCATTTAAAAGTGTGAATTAGGTACAGATCTATTTGGAAAAATCCGCCTTAAATTTTTTTTAAATTGATTTTTAGAGAGAGAGGAAGGGAGAGAGAGAGATGGAAACATTGATGAGAGAGATACATCAATTGGTTGCCTCTTGCACGACCCTGACTGGGGTTGGGGATGAACCGCAATCAGGGTACATGCCCCTTGGCCAGAATCAAACCGGGGACTCTTTGATTTGTGGACTGATACTCTAACCACTGAGCCAAACTGGCCAGGGCCTTACATTTTAACTCACTAAAATTTTTTGGTTAACTACTAAATATTAAATTTTGTTTATATCTTTTCTAATTTCACAGAGAATTTTTGGAGGCTAAGCATAAATAAGAATAAATCATTAGTTGTATTCAATATGGTACACAAGTTCATAAATTTTACACCACATTTTCTGATTTATTTTATTCTAACCAAGTTTAGTTCTCAATATCTATATAATTCTCAGAGATATTTTCCATATCAGGATCAACCTACTTATTAATGTTGTTCAATTAAGACTTCACTTTTTTCCTCCACCAGAGAAGTTTCTTTGTTTTTAGGAAAGTTATTCCCAGTCTTGATTTTCTTATTTTATGAAATCAACTCTTTGATTTAATTCAAACCACATACTTATCATTGACCTCTCTTTCTATGTCTCAGATCAAATCATCACTTCTTCTGTCATATGGACATTTTTGCTATTTTATGCTCTAGATTTCTGCCTGGCCTAAATGCCTTTCCAAAAGTGACTTTTTAGGTCTTAAAAAAATTACAGATTCAGTTATGTATTTTTTTAATGAAATGCAAGATTGTCTATATAGTTTTATTATTATTTTAAAATGTTTTTATTGATGTTTTAGAGACAGAGGAAGAGAGAGAGATATAGAAACATCAATGTGAGAGAGCTACATCAATTGGTTGCCTCCTGTATGCCCCCCCACTGGGGATCGGGCCCACAACCTGGGCTTGTGCCCTGACCGGGAATCGAACCAGGACCTCTCAGTCCATGGGATGATGCTCAACCCACTGAGCCACACCAGCTAGGCCTATAGAGTTTTAAATGTTTACATTTCCCAATATCTTATGAGTTTTTATCATTTTATTACAGAATAATGGAAAAGGTAAGACAGGTGTTTCTTTTACCTCTTTACACATGAAATTGTCAGTAGTAAGTATAGGAATCTGGAGTCCTACCTTGAGGAACTTTGTTATTTTCTTACGTTTTGCCATCACACTGCCCTCTCAGAGTGATCATGTTTGTTATCTTGTTGTTACCCAGTCTATTAGGATGTAATATTTTATTTCATTCTGGTGGTAAAAACGTTTATTTTTACCTCATTTAGTTTTAGAAATCAGTAATCTACATGTGCCCCTCCTTCCATACACGCACTGTTATCACTGGAAGTTCAAATTAGGATTTGAGTATTATGATTAAGTAGTTATGGGTGAAATAGTATAAGGACAGAATACCACACATTTTAATGATGGTATAATAAACCTTTCTGAGAAAAAAGGTTAGAAGAATAATTCAAAAGATAAGCCTCTTATTGGTAGATTTTATATTTGTATGGGGTCAAGAGGTAAGTAGGTTGACTGGAAGAAAATCATACAGTATTCACAAACCACTTTGTTAAACAAAGGCTCAGCTATCCAGAAAACAATCAACATTATCCTAATTATTGTAAATTACTGTGTATCACAGTATCTGACTGGAGAAGTTACCCTAGCTGTGTGCTCCCATAGCATCATGTCCCCCTCTGTCATGCACTTAGTTTACTTTATTTATTTATTTATTTATTTATTTATTTATTTATTTAATATGTTTCTCCTTTTCTCCCCATTGACACCCCCCTCCCAATCCTGCCGCACCCCCCCCCCCCCCACCTCCCAGCATTGTTGTCTATGTCCATGGTTAGTTTACTTTATTTAAATCGCTTGTTTAGGCCCTGTCCAGGTAGTTCAGTGGGTATAGTGCTGTCCCAATACACCATGGTTGTGGATGTGATCCCTGGTCAGAGCACATATAAGAACCAACAAATGAATGCATAAATGAGTGGAACAACAAATCTCTCTTTTTCCCTCCCTCCCTTGCTCCCTCTCTCCCATCTCTCTAAAAAATAAATCAATAAAAATGTTTTAAATTGCTTGTTTAGTTTTCTTTCCCCATAAGATACAAACTCTGTGAAGGCCTGGACTCTATCATGTTTAATTTAAACACTGCTGCATCGCTTATACCTAGCCTAGGGTCAGGGAAACAGAAGGTGCTCAATAAGTATTTATTGAATGAGTAGATATTGTTAGTGCTACTAGTAGTTTCTATCCAAGTAAACCATTTTACTTCTCTCCTAATAATTTGTTAATTTCTTGGTGTTGAAGTGATTAGTGCTTCATTAAACAAAAACGTGGGATCTATATGATTTCTTAAATTCCTTTTAACATATAACCCATGGATTTGTTTTGTTTACTCATTATTTTAACTGAGTTTTCTATGAGGGACTAGTTAGAATATAATGGAAGGAGTGCTGGTCTAGGAGTCAAAAAGCCAATTAGTATCCCGAACTACTTACTAGCTGTGCTGTTCTGCCAAGTCCCTTATTGATTTTGAGCCTATTTTTATCTACAAAAAAGATAAATGAAAAGAAATGATGTGTTGTGAAATCATTCTTGAAACTCTAAGTGGTACACCAATCTGTGCTGGTACACATTTGGTTGCATGTGTATAGAATAAAATGAAATAGCATCTGTGGGCCATGTCTTAAATGGGAGATTGTTTTGCCATTTAAGAAAAGTCTATTGGTATATGCCGGGGGGTGGGGGGGGGGGTGGATAATTCTAATTTAGAACAGTTCTGTCTGAATAGAGCAGTTCCTTAGCTCCTGAGTGACTTAAACAACTTCATCATTAAAACACTAAATGAAGTGCATGAATATACTATTATCTGAGAGCTCGGTTTAAGAGAAAGGTCACTGTTCCAGTCCCAATGTGTTTGTAATCTAAACAAACAAGGTATGAAAACAAGATTAATACTACTATATTCTAGTAATTACTACATTCTTACATTTTGATTAT